ATGGTGGCCAGGCGCGAGCTGGCGGCGCGCGCGTTCAGCTTGGCGTAGAGCACGTCGTCCAGGTCCCAGGCCAGCAGGCGCCGCAGCAGCACGAGCGACTCGTCGAAGTACTCGGCGATCATGACGAGCGAGAAGACCTCCTCCACCTGGCGGATGAGGCCCGCCAGGTAGGCGCCGTCGCGGCGCGGGCTGCGCTCGTTGTCGCCGCCCAGGTCGTAGGTGAGCGTGTTGTGCGCGAACATGGCGAAGTGCTCGCCCGCGCGGTAGTAGGCCTCGGGAGCGCGCAGGAAGGCCTCGAGCGACGCGTTGGGCACGCGCCGGAAGGCCGGGCAGTACTGGTTGTAGTAGCTGAAGAGGGACTCGAACATGGCCGCGGGCTCGCGCAGGATGGTGACGTAGACGGTGCCCGGCGGCATGAGGCGCTCCAGCTCCGCGCGGTCGAAGCGCAGGTGGCTGGCCAGCACGTGCGGCGGCCGCGTGGCCGGGTGCACGAAGTGCGCCGAGAAGTTGCGCGGGTAGCAGAACTGGTGCTCGCAGCTCGGGTGCGGCAGGGCCACCGTCAGGTTGTGGCGCTCGGCGAAGCGGAACAGGATGTTCTGCACCGTCGTGCTCGCGGTCTTATGCGTCTTCAGGAAGGCCACGGTCATGTGCTTGGGGCGCGGCGGCGAGTCCTGCAGCGGCGGGCAGCTCAGAGGGAACAGCTTGGGGTACCTGCAGGGTCCAGGGAGGGGTGCAGGGAGGAGGGTGTGAGAGGGTGTGACCCCAGCCCCTTCCCAAGGATGGTGGGTGGGCTACAGAGAGGCCCATTTTGGGCTTTACCCACGGAGCAGTAGAAGGGTGTGGCAGGCGGCCTCTAAGATGACCTGCGTGATCCCTGCTGGCCTCCTGGTATTCATGCTCTTGTGTATTTCTTTCCCCTTGAGAATGGGCGGGACTTATTGATGCCTCAGTCTAAGGCACAGAATAGGGCAGAAATGATGTCACTTGTGACATTATATTATGTAAAGGCTATGGCTTCTATCTCGGTGTCTTTCTCTAGGACAACTCATGCAGGGGGAAGAAGCTGCCATCCTGTGAGCCACCCTGTGGGGAGGCACTACATGGCAACAGTTCCCAAGGAAATGGGCCTTCAGTCCATCGCCCGGCTTGAGGAACTGAAGTCTGCCAACAACCACATGAGTGAGCTTGGAAAGGGAGCCCTTCCAATCAGACCTTCGGACAAGATTGCAACCCCATTCGAGACCTCGAGCCAGAGGTACCCAGCTAAGCCCCACCTGTATTGCAGACCCACAGAAGTGAGATGATAAATGTTTGATGTGCCCAGCTGCTAAGCTTTGAGGTAATTTGGTTTCACAGAAACATAACTAATAGAGGGGCAATGGCCTTTGGACATCACTGAGAAGTTCCTCTCTACAGATGTAGAAACTGAGCACCAGGAAAAAAATAATTTACATGAGTCTGGCAACCCAGATAAAGTCATCAAACCCTCTTCCTTTCATTTTCATTTTTTACCTTTTCACTGGCTCCTCACCTTGTGGGTAAGTGGCATGGGCTTTGAGGCAGCCCACTTGTCATGATTCTGCTAAGACCTCTGGAGCTTCATTCATTCAGCCAATTTTTTTAAAAGATCAGTTTATTGATTTTTAGAGAGAGTGGAAGGGAGAAGAGAAACATTGATGTGAGAGCAAAACATAGATTGGCTGCCTCCTGCGCGCCCCCTACTGGGAATGGAGCCTCAAACCTGGTCATTTGCCCTGACTGGGAATTGAACCAACACCTTCTCCGTGTATGGGATGGCACCCAACAGGGCCACACTGGCCAGGGCTCAGCCAATATTTTTTGAGCATCTCTTATGTGCCAGGCACTGTTCTAGGCTCAAGAAATATGATAGTATAAAAAACAGGTAACAATCCTAGTCTTCATGAAGCTTTGATTTCTATGTCCTTGCTTCTGAATCAGGGTGTTTGGGAGTACAGATGACCTGTAAGATCTTTTTAGACTTTGAGTCACTCTCCTGTTTCTTTTCCACCATCCTAATCATAATGTAACAAGGGCAACTCTAAGCAGCTCTGAGAACACCATTGAGACTTCCTATCTGTGGATGATTTGGATTCAGGACAATGTCTACGAAGATGCCCTTTTAAAGACCAGCAAATCACCTCGCAATGGGGATTGGGCCCACTCACACCATTCTCCTGGGCAGACCATGTAGGAAATGGGGAAGTTGAGGCCCTGAGGGGTTCAGGGATTTGCTGGGTTCACACGTGAGCCAGGAGTTAGGGTCAGGGCTCCTATTAGTCGTCACATGGTATCCTGTGTCAGGGTGACTAGCTGGGTCACACATACCATCATTTCTATTTTACAGATGAGGAAACGGGCTCAGAGGAGTGAGAGGACTTGCCCAGCACAACAGAAGTGGTGAATTGTTTGCAGTCCTCTGATGACATTCGAAGGCTTGGGCTGGATTAGAGTCCCAGCTTAGTCACTGACTAACTCTATGGCTTTGAGCAAATCACTCCAATTTCAATGAAGATCAGTCCCTGCCCCGGGAAGTTGTGTGGATCTGAAGAGATGTATGGAAAACACTTTCAGGATAGAGGGAAGGAACAAAGTCCAGCAGAAGACAGACTCTTCTGGCAGGTCCAAGGAATGGGAAGCAGCACTCCCAGTCCTGGTGCCAACCAGGTGGCTGGCAGCCTGAGACGGCAACTCCCCTGGGCCCCGCCCCTC